GCTGATTTCGACAATTCATTCATGATCATCTAGACCTCAAGACAATTTCTTCAGCGGTTCTGTCGTCTTCATCTTCTTGTTCTCGAACGCTTAGTAATTGATATGACTTGTTTGTTTGGTTTGTTAAAGGGTGTTTGATAGCATGTTTGGCTACTTTTCCGTCTCTTTTGATTTCCCGTACTCCTTTGGGTGTCGAGAATTCGACAGTCTGGTGAAGGGTGGATAGGATTCCCCCATTTGGTGGAGCCAAAGGGTGCCTACGATCATATTATAAGCACACAATCGGTGCACTATGTCAACCTCCACCTGTAGGTTAATGCCTTCATTGCCTTGGGCGTACATTTGCATGTGGACACTGTTAGTCGTTTAACATGGTTCCGTATTGAATCCGACCAGAGTTCACTCAGTCTTTTTAATTTTGGTTTTGCTTATTCCCATTTCTTTTAACATGCTTAGAGTAGTGATGTTGGTTATCTACCAACACCTGCCTGACCATGGAGTTGGCCTCCCGACGCAATATCATCGATGCATCATTATGAGTCTGTATTGAGACTATATTATTTGACTCGTTGAACAAGATCGAAAGCTTCTTTCAATCTTCTTTTTTTGGTCTCCACCCTACAAATGTTAAACGACTTGTCCTGACAATTTTTATGGCATTCCTTTTTGCTATAAAATAGGTTAGTCCACAAATATCTAAACCACCATTACTAAAATAATTTACCTAGCTTGTATGGAGTGGACGTCGATGGGCGGGGTGCGGCGGGTGTGGGGGATGCGTTCTGTAAGATAGCCATTCTTTAGTATGCAGGCAAACTTCTTTCTCAAAGCCACATACTCATCCAATGTATGGCCGACATCGTCATGGAACTCACACCTTTCATTGGGATCTCCTCGTCCTGTAAACTTATTAGACTTGTTGGATCATCTTACTTGTCTCGTGGCTTCTCTAATGTGGCCTCTAACCCCAACACTGAAGCAACACACTAATGATAGGAGGCACATTCGAGTCATTCCTCCAATTCGTCATGGAAGTAACGACTCATTCCTCAATCTTGAATATGGTTTTCCAAGCCTGTACTCCTGCATTTTGGAAGAGTTTGACTTCCTCTGCACCTTTCATATTCATATTTTTTGTGCCCGGATCATAAGTATTCCTCTAGATAGATGAAGGCTAACATCTTTGCGTGGACATTTTCGAAGGACCGAGAGGGATATGCCATCATTTCATGGTACAACTCCGAGTTAGGCTATTAACGACCCAAGATGAGCTCAATCACCTAGATCTTGAGTTTGAATTGGTTCGGTAATAGTGGTGTTCAAGTTTGAACTCGAAGCATGACGAGCTTTAAAAAATAGGGCTCATGTCCGGCTCAAAAGATGTGCGACGTTTGAATTGTAACTCAATAAATTTACTTGAACCTAATATTTTAGGTGATTCTCATTAATAGGCTTTTGCCCGAAGTATTCAACAAGTACTCGATTTGTTATAATCATATTAAAATTTATAAAATCATACTAATTACATATAAAATTTGACATATATATATAAATTATACCTAGAATTTCAGGGTGTTCAATAAGCTCGAGCTCGAACCGACCCAAATACTACTATGCTCAAGCTCGACTCGATTAGTGAATCGAACATCAAGGTCATCTCGCGTTTGAGTTCGAAGCGCATTTGCTGTCTCCAAGTCTCCAAACTACCTCTACTTAATGCTTCAATTGCGGTGGAGATGTCACATCTCGCGATTGATACATTCTTTTTGTTGAATAAAGCAATCCCTAAGGGGTTCACCATGTCTTTGTGTGACTTGATAGAGGTTGCTGGCCAGTCTTTTCAATATCCTTCTACTGGCGAATTCCTAAATGAAAGCTTAACGAGTTTACCAAATGAGCCGAAGCCCCCATTCAGTAAGTTCACAAACCAAGTCACGGTAGGTGCCATTAACATTTCACTAAAACCTCGGCATATGCACGCCTCTCTGTGTTCAAGCTTGACGGAGACAACTAGCATCCTTGCTTGTACTATGCGACATGTTCTTTGGGATCTGGGGTTACATCAAAGTGCTTCATAGACAATATGATGAATTTCTTTGGCATCACCTTGCCAGTGATTGAATTTCTAAAAAGCGACTCAGGGTAACATGTCTGGGCTGGAACTCCATAAATTCCATTGATCATTTCCTTCATTTTTCGTTATTGTGCAAAGATGGCTGCCATGGGGTTCGTGGTATTGTTCATCGAGTGGTAGACAAATGTCTTCATAGGACCGACTATTTAAGTGCATTGAATGCATTCTAGTTTGGTCGGGGAAGATAATATGATGACTCCCTTATTCCTTCGATTTTGAGTGAGAAGTTGAGGAATACAATATTCCGATATAGCTAGATGAAATGATATTTGAAGTAAAAATGTTTTGGCTAAGGTCTATTTACTTGAGTGAAGGAAGCAAAAATGTTTTGGGTAATGAATTGCATTGTGTATCTGCTCGGTCACAATTTCTTCCCGCTGGCCACCATGCTGACTTGAGTTAGCGTGTAGTTGTCGGTTTCATTACTATACATTGTTTAAGCTAATTTGCGTAAGCTAAAACTAGTTAAAAGAATTATGTGATTGTTGGGGTCATATACAACTGTACAAGAGCAAATGAATATTAAGAAATAAGAATATTTTGCAACTAATCAAGAGTATAAGTCAATATTTTCAAAGTAAGTGTTCTTTTTCACTATGGATTTAACTCCTATTTATAAGAGAAGTGATTATACTCGACCTGGACATTTTTTTCGTTTTCGAACGGATTTGGCAACTCCCCAGTTGAAAAGTTTAGCTCTATCCTTACAATCCAGGCTTATGTGAATAGTTCAACCCCTTCGAACATATTCTCTGTTTTATATGAAATATAGGCTTGCGTAAGTTCTACATGCGGAGCGACTATTGCTGATCGGGCTGAACTTGCAAGTCTAAGTACATATTGTAGAAGTAAATACAGATAAAATATCAGGTCGATCCATAGGAAAAACTTTGGTTTCTGAAAGTTAAGGGTGTGAAACTAAAGTGATGGGTTATGGAACCTGAGACAATGAATATCTAGAGAGATAGAGCGAATCTAGAGTGTGAAAGATGCTTATTAAATTTGGCATCATAATAGTAAAATGAATTTCATGTCTCTTTCCCAAAGGAGAATGTGGTTGTATATAGACAAAATATAATGCTTCGACCTTAAATCCAAAATGGCTAAAGAGGAAATGGCAAGGTGACATAAACTGCAGAGTGATATCACGATGGTGCCATCCTTTGAGGAAGTGGACCACAATGATGTAAGTCATGGATGTGAACATGTCTGGAACGTCCGAGAGACAGCTAAGTGTAGAAATAATAATCTAGCCGAGGCGGATCAAGTCCGCTCAACCTCGCCCGATAGCGTCTGTGCGGAATATTGTAGTGGTAATCATCAGACTCGGCCTCAGAGAAGTAGCTCGACCCGGGATGGAATGTGCCCGCTAGCAAAGAGATATCTTAAGGTGAGATCTCGGACTTGGCGCAAAGCATCGACTCACAGTGCTAATGACTTGAGCTACTGCATTGGACCATCTTGTTTGGATCCTCGAAGTATATGACAATATACTCCATCATAAAGTATGCAATAATATACATGTATTGATTTTTCTTAAAGGCCAACAAAATGGCCAACACGTCATCACCTCAAAATTTACTAGAGTCAATACTTATTTCTTGTGAAAGCTTATAAGTACGATGTCACTATTATATCTCTCACTTGGATTAAGATGGTAGGAATTGTAGTTTTACTACGTGTGTCTTGATACGGTTCACAACTGAAAATCCTATTTTACTACGTGTGCGTCTCGTAATGGTTCACGACTGAAAATCCCATCAAAAATCAAGACATCACTAGGGCTCAATGACCAAAACATCATGATTTCACCTCAACATTTACTAGAGTTAAATACTTATATAGTATTTATGTGTACGCTTATAAGTACGATATCACTTATATCTCTATCTTGGATTACGATGACGGGAAATGTAATTTTACTATGTGTGAATCTCGTTAGGATTCACATCAATTACAGAAAACTGTTAAATATCAAAACATCACACTCATAACATACAAGACTTGATTTTTTAATCCTTATATGTTTATCTTTCCATAATTAGACTTCAATGTTAATTGAAACATAAACTTAGTTATAATACAAAGTCTAAACATACATGATTTAAAAAATCACATCTCCCCTGATTTTTCAAGAACCCGTTTGGTGACTGATAGAGTATATGGGCCTGGACCCCATGGCCCGCATACTCAAGTCAACGAAGACCAGAAGGACACCCACGTGGCCCCCTTCGGCCAGTGGATCCGCATCGGCCAGAAACCAAGCCGGCCCAAGAAGCACACCTGGACTCCCGGGGGCCGCGTCGGCCCATGGACCGCATCGGCCATGGGACCGCATCGGCCAAAAGGTTCCGCATCGGCCAGACTTCGTCCTGGCAGAATACATCTCTCTATTTTATTTGCTAAGTATTGTACTCAGCCCATTAGTGGCCCTATTTCGCACAAAGAAGGCATGATTATTGTAATGGGCCTCCTAAGCCCATGGCTAGGAGCCCAAATCCACATTTTTACCTATAAATAGACCCCTTGGGGCTAGTTATAGGGGGTTGAGAAATATAATTACTCACTTTCTCTCTCTAGCTCTCACTTCTCTCTAGAATTAATACTCTATCAGTGACCCTATTTTTTGAGTTATGAGTCTAATCAACCATTTTCTTGCCAAACAAGTAACTTTTGATTTCACACGCTTAGTTGTGCAATAACCAAAATAAGTAAGATTGTAATAATTTTTGTGACTGATTGACAGATGTTATCACAGAAGACCATTTTAGCTACATATTTGTTCTGATAATTTATTTATTCTGTTTCATCAATAAAATATATTTTAAATACAATTTTTTTCATAATTAGCAAAGTCAACCACATAGCCGGAACTTCATAAATTTAAGTAGAATCAGCCAATTCAACCAACTTCAGTGTTATCAAATGGCTCCCAAATGTAAAACAAACCTACAATTTTCCTTGATCCAAATTCCAAACAATGTTGTGGGTTGTTTGGATTGGTAAATCAGGATACAGAAACAAAAGTATAAACATTATTTTCAGCCAGTAGATCAATATACTATCGTATGAGCGAGTTAAATACGGAGTATCATTTTTGGGGAATGATAATCAGCAATCCTCTTTATTTCCATTTTTTTATGCCCCGCCGCCCTTTCATGAGAGCAATGGAATTAATAGTGATTGGGAATGGCAAATGTTTTTTAAAAACTTAAACTAAGAAAAAAAACCAGTGTCCTTTCAAAATCAGTGAGTTCATATATTAACTACTGCGTATTACATATTTTGCTACAAACCGGTCCAATCCATGAACTTCTTAACCTCATCATACAAAACCAGCACGGCGGCCGCTCCAGCACTCCTGAATACATTCGAAAGAGCTCCACGATAGAAAGAAGTGGGTCCCTCCATCCTGTAAATCTTCTTCCAGCAATCCAATGTGTTCCGGTACATGGGCGGCGCCCCTGATCCGGACTGCATCATCATTCGTCTACGGACTGTATCGAGTGGATACGACAAAAGCCCGGCTAATGTCGTGACCCCCTGAGCCGCCACCCAGCGTTTCCACAACGCCACTTCTGGTTTGGATGATGACATCATCATATCTTTTAAGGTGTCAAAACCACCAAAGTAGAGGCCGCGGTGGATGATCATCCCATGCAGAGAGGCAGGGAGGCCACGGTAGACCCCGCGAATCCCGTCTTTATTATGGATCGTTCTTAAGAAGTGGGAGATGCCTCGGAATTGGCGCATGTCAGTTCTCCCAAGGTCAGCGGCAAGACGTGTGTGCGCAATATCAAGGGGGTAGATGATTACTAGCGTTGTACATCCGGCCGCGGCCCCCGCGATGAAATTGGCAGATGGGCCTGCCAAGAAGTGTCCCTTGTCGTAGTTGCTGTGCAGGATATTCCTATAGAGGTCCTGCAAAATATAAGCTTTTGGCCATCGATTATCAAAGTTCGAAATCACACATGATTATTAAGATAGCAGACACAAATCAGTGTCATAATCACATGATAGTATGATACATTAGTGACAAACTACTTTGGTAGCCGGGAAAATTCAAACTTCCGTGGTAATAAGTATCTAGAGAATTAGAGAAAGTTTAAGTCAAAGATGAGTACAGAAAATTACATTTCCATAATATATTAGAGCATAAGTGAGAAGGAAAGTCCAAAATGCTGCATTTTGCGCTTTCAGAATACACGACAAGATGAAAGAAATACACGCACAGACTTTACTTTGTGGCAGAACTTACACAACAAGGCTAACTCTTGTATTCTACAGTATTGTGCCCCTATGATGAGCAGCATATTCGAAACTCAGAAAGAAAGAAATAACAAATTACCTATCATCAGATAAACTAACGGAGTTGATTTGACTGAAACTTTTCTATTGCATGTGATGTGGGACTCTTAACACTTCTATGGAATGTCTTACAGCCTTCAATCTTCATGCCTGAATATAGAAAGCACATTGCTTTTGCTCGAGCCAAAACCAATTGACTCGTTACAAGAAAACAACTTCTTTGTTTCATGCAGAAGATCATTACACAATCCCTTCCATATTGTAAATTTGCAACCAAATCCTCAGTTTAAATACTGTTGAACTATTATCTTAAGATGAAGTTAATGAAGTTATTTTCACCAGAGGAACTAAGAGGGTGTGCTGTTCCTCGAAGCCGGGAATATTATTTTGCCCGCAGCATTTGTGTACAAAGACATTTTACTCCAATTTCCTGTGAAAATAACTAGCGAAAAGAAAAAAAAGAACAGCGGGGAATGAATTAACTCAATCCTAAGAACCACTTTCATATTAAGTGGCATCAGGAAACATCATATTAAACTATCAACAAGGGGAATGAATGAGACATGGGTAGACACAAACTGTTTACTTGCTTCCAAACCTGCCTGTAAGACTAACTATTAATGAGATAAAATTAAGAGCTGATTGAATGTGTGGAGATTTTTGGTGTTTATAATACTCCTTAAGAATTAAAGGAAAATAATAACAAATTGACAATAATAAGAAAAATATTTGGAGACAATGGAGCATTATTAGAATTGCTTTTGTTATTATCATTTTTATTATTAGTAATCCTTTTGTCTGTCTAGCCAGTTGATTTTCCATTGCAATAGGGTTTCAGCACAGAACTAAATTTGCTCATGATCACACTGTTTTGACATATTGGAGCACAAAAAGCACTAACACGAAACACATTACATGAAAACTACAAGATTGACCTCTTCATAATCAGCCAAGAAGTATATAAACTTAGCGGTTACCAACCTCAGTCTAACTAAGCGATCTAAACCTCCCAACTCACCAAGCCATTTAGTTTAGGATTGAACTGCAAAGTAATACTGTGAGACATTGATCATTAACTAAGCAATGTCCAATGAGGGAGGCACTGGAAATAGGAAAAACATGTCACCGGAAAATAGTTACTAGTTTGTCACAGGTTTTCCATGGAGTTTCTTAAACGTTTGTAAAACATGAAAACTCCTACCTACCTGGAGTTCCTATGCATCATTGTGGCTGCAACGTTCCAGCCAAATAAGAATCACACTAACGCTTCTTGAAATAGGAAAATACCATGGGAATAATAGGCAAGAGAACATAAAGGCAAAGAAAATCTGGCCCGAAATAAAAATATGGCTTCGAAGACAATAAATTATTATTTTTCCTTTTGTCATTTTCAAAGAAAATAATTCCCTTGATTAAATCTTCCCGTTTTCCCAATCACACCCATGATCCAGAGACACCCTCCTTAACTACCGCCTAAATCAATAATCTTGTCTGATGAGCTTGTATTTATAAATCTATGCTTATCAAGGAATATGAGCTAATTGCTCACTTCCAATCAAGAGTAACTTTTGCATTAACCACTTGACATATGTTTACCAACACCAATTAAACTGCATATAAAGAACCTTCCTGACGTGCTTTATCAACAAAAAACCCACAATTTTGTAAGAACACAAAAGGTTAAAAGAAACACTAGTTAAGGAATGGGGGTGTAAGCCAGGGAAGGTACCTTTAGGGAGAAATTGAGAGCAACAGAAGGATAGTATCTGATAACGCTGCTTCCGTTCCCTCTCCACAAAGAGAGAAACCCTTCTTCCCTAACAATCCTCACTATACAATCCAACATACCCTTAAACTTTTTATGAGTTCCCCCCGCCAAGATTGCCATGTTACTTTCCTGTGTCTGCAACAGAAGCTTTGCCCTCTCTATGGGAGCCACGATTGTGTGAACCACACCTCCCATCACCGCCCCCGCCAATATATCTCTGTAGAAATTTGCCCACCAATCCGATTGCCCCGATTCCGAAATCGGCGGATCGTCACCTTCCCCATTTCCCTCCTCCATTTGTACCCGCCCCAACATGGGAGAATCGATTTTGGTGCTCAAAGGCGAGACATCTGGGTATGACAATTCTTTTGAATCGTTATTGTGGGCGTTCTAGGCAGAAGAAAAAGAGATTCGTTTGAGCACTGAGCCTATTTTTATTCTATGACAAAACTTATATTCTGTCCATCTATATACGATTCAATGTTTTCGTTAGAATAAGGGCAAGGTCTATCTTGATTTGCTCTGACGGATTCTGGTTATGAAGAAGAGGTTGGTGTGAAAATGGTTGACATTTCTCAAACTGGATACAGATTGAACAGGAGCTTCAGTGAATTTTTAAGCTTTCTGGGTGAAAATATGGAAACTGGAAGTACTTCCCGAGTTTTCCATTGCTAAGCCGTAAGCGGTTGTTAAGTTCCCTAAATTTATAATCCGTATATTTTTAAATAGGTCTTAAACAAATCAGATCAGATTAGACCGGATTTTCATAGTTATAAAATGCACAAAGATCATACATTTATCAAACCAATTCAGTTCAAAACAGACAAACAAGACTTAAATAAATCAATCATACCAGCAAATTTTAGTTCAAGTAAAACATTCTAAGTGTAAAAGACGTCTTCTATCTCTCCAACGAGAATGATACTCGTACGCGCCGGCTTACACGCCCATTACTCGCTAAATGTGTTTTGTCTGTGCATAAACAATTTATTTTCATTTTAGTTAGGGAAATTATCCGTGACTTTGAAAAAGTGAATTGTGTGTGATCAAACAATTGGGAGTCATAGTTCCCTTTGAAAATCAATCGTTTATACAAAGATAAATACACTTGGCAAACTATATTTATCTTTGAAAAAGTGATGATATTTGAGCAATCTAACAGTGATTCTCTCGGAAGATATAGGAGAAGTCTGAAAACTTACATACAGTAATTAAGAACCTAAACCAATTTATATCCGTCAAGAGAATTCGGGATTAGTCCGAGGGAAGAGGCCGGCGGGGATCTTCTAACAAAAAAAAGAAATACTCTGAATGCTGCTGTTCGGCCTATTCCTACCAATGAGAGCTGAAATACAGGAAAACATAAATATAGATAGATGCAGCACATCCACGGTTGGATCAAATCCATATTTATCCATCCATGATAACCGACACGTGTACGTTCCCCTCAGATCCACAGGAAACCCTCCGCATAAGCGCTTCGGAAATCCATCTTCCGCCGCCATCTCCGTTTCCTCACTGCAAAAAAGCTTCATCTTTGTTTTCTCTCTCAAAGTCATTATCATATCCTCTTTTCTCGCACGCTTTTCACTCGTTCATCCTCTTGTTCTCCGTTTCCTCACGGTGAGGTTTTGTGACATGTCTTGAAGACGAGAGGCCATATCAATCATACATGTACATACGTTTCAGTTTATAGCTATGTGCGCCCTTTATACAAGTTATTAAGCTCGACCCATTTTACAACTCCAATAGAATGGAAATGGGGCGTTTTTATTTTGCTTGGTTTGTGATATTCTGGATTTTGTTTTTCCCCGGAAAGCTTAGGGTTTTTCTTGTCCTGTGGTCTGTGTCGATTTGGGCGCTGTGATGTATATATTGGGTGTGTTTTGAAGTGTAATTTGTTGAAAAAAGTGGCGAAAATGAGTTTGAGAACAGCTTCGGACGATTCGGCGTCGGAAATCCATCTTCCGCCCGACATAGACTGGGAGATGCTTGATAAATCTAAGTTCTTCTTCCTCGGGGCGGCGTTATTCTCCGGCGTATCGGCGACGCTCTACCCGGTGGTGGTGCTAAAAACTCGGCAGCAGGTGGTAGCGTCTCAAATCCCTTGCCTGAAGATGGCCAATTCGATCTTGAAGAACGAAGGGTTCCGGGGATTTTACAGGGGATTTGGAACTTCCCTCACCGGAACCATCCCGGCGCGTGCACTTTACATGGGCGCGTTAGAGATGACCAAGAGTAATGTAGGAAACGCCACCGTTCAGCTGGGGTTCTCCGATGCCACAGCGGCTGCCATAGCCAATGCGGCTGCCGGTCTGAGTGCGGCCATGGCAGCTCAGCTGGTGTGGACTCCCATAGATGTTGTGAGTCAGAGGCTAATGGTTCAAGGTGATGTGCTACCTAGTTTTTGTTTTTGTTAACTACCATGCACATTGACATTAAAAATTGAGCCATGCATTAAAAATCTAGTGATATCAGTTTTGGCTTTTGACCGATTTATAGATGAAATAGTAATAAAACGGTAACTATTGTTATGGTTTCGATGAATTGGCCGAATTAGAAAGAAATTTTGCCTACTTTTTTTTGGCTAGAATGACAGAAATGCGTAATCCCAAAATGAATTTCATTCCTTTCCTTTCCTTTGACTCAATGTAAATTTTTTTTAGTTGATGAAGTCAAATCAGTATGTCAATCAAACTTTAACCATATTTAGACATGTTGAAGCATTTACAAAATGGCATATTTCCCCTCTTTCACGTGAGGTAAATTTAAGAGAAGTTGATGGTTTTGTTTGCATTTATCAAACCGAGGTGTTTGAAATAAATTGTTTCATTATTTTGCATCTGTTAGGATTCGTAACTGAAGGAGGACAAGTTGGGTTGAAGAGCTACAGTGGCGGAATAGACGCCTTCAGAAAGATAGTGTGTAGCTATGGAGTGAGGGGATTGTACAGAGGTTTCGGGATTTCAATCCTGACATACGCCCCTTCCAATGCGGTATGGTGGGCCTCATACTCTGTAGCTCACAGAGGGTTATGGGGATTGATCGGCTGCCATGGCTGCAAGAAGGAGGAGAGCGGTTACACGGCGGATGGGAAGGCGCTAGTGGCGATCCAAGGGATGAGCGCCACCTTGGCTAGTGGCGTCTCTGCCATGGTGACCATGCCGCTCGACACGATCAAGACAAGGTTGCAAGTGTTGGACGGGGAAGGGGCAGCCGCTGCGGAGAGGCGGTGGAGGCGGCAGCCTACGGTGGTCGAGACGGTGAGGGAGTTGGTCCATAAAGACGGGTTCCGGGCATGTTACAGGGGTTTAGCTCCCAGATGGGCTTCCATGTCTATGTCCGCAACCACTATGATCACTACCTATGAGTTTCTTAAGAGGCTGTCTACCAAAAATCATGAAAGCTATGCTCGATAGAATCACGCAAGTAGAAGGATAGATGAGGTTTCTTTTATGTGATGTTTTAACTCGCCTTGAAAGGCTCTGCCTGATTGTGAAATCATAAATGCAATAATTATATTCGTGGTCATAAATATACTACTAGTACAAAGATGTTGTTAACGCTATGTACTTCTATTAGTTCTACACTTTACCTTTTCACTCCGTTAAAATTTGAGTGAAGGTTTTGGGTAAGGGCCAGTTCCGTTTTTTTGTGTTTTACTGACGATAAAGCAAACGGATCCCTGTGTGCACTCGAATTAATTTTAGAAAAAAAGAATTACATATTCAGAAATTACATTAAAACCGCTACAAAACTTGCAAAAAAGAATTCAAATTCCATAAAATTTTGATATATAAAGTAAGAGATTAAGAGTGATTTGTGTTGACCAAGTGAATAGTAAAGACATCTTATAAAATGGGACAGAGGGAGTATTATTTATTTCAACCCCTACCCCCATCCCTTCAAACCCCTCGGAATCACCTAGCCTAGCCCACCTAAAGCCAGCACAAACCCCCCCAAAAAAATGAGGCCCGAACTGGGCCCGAATCGGTCGGGCCAGTTCACAATTTACACGTACCGGAGCCGCCCCCGATTAGCAAGCCGGGTTGGGCCCAGGCCCGGTACTGTAACTGGTCAACCGGGCCAGTCCGGTCCCGCACAATAGCGGGCCGGTCCGGTCCCCCACAGTAGCGGGCCGGTTCCTGGGCCGGTCGGACCGGACCGGGTCCATGACTAAGTTAAGTGTCAACTCGGCATACAAATTTGTCTCTGGTGGGGTAAAAAGTACATGAATTTGCATCGGAGCTTATAAAATATTTCAACTTAGTGGTGGATTAGGCAGGGTTTGGGCCGGGCTCCGAGCTGGGACTGGGCGGGCTCTGGGTCCAGTAATATCAGTCCCGGTACCGGCCCGGTTATGTATCGGAATTGGGTTGGGCTACCCAGTCGGGCTTCGGGTCAAGCCCGGATTGGGCCAAGCTAAATTTAATTTTTTTTTATTTAATTCACAAGTGCTACAAAAAAATTTAATGTATATTTATTGAAATATGAAGTACAATTGATATTTGAAAAATAATCTCAATCATTAAATACATTTGCTAAAAGTTGGAATCTCCGCCAGCATCGATTGTTGTTTCTTCCACGAAGTAGCGGTCGGGGGCGATGCAAACTTCTTGAATTTTACGTCGTGCCTTCAACTAATCGTGAAAGCAAACAAACGTCTCAAGAGATTTTGTCATTTTGAGCACAATTTTGTTATATAATCGATGATTATTACCCCCAAATCAGTCTAATACTTCACGTCCTTCATAACATCACCTAGTGCGGTTAAACCGTCTTTTACCGGGCTTTGGGGCGGGGCGGGGTTTGGATATAAGCAGAAAAACAGAATCACCAAATGGTCTCTTATTTTTTTTAGCTTTCATGTCATATGTGGATTCATGTTGGTCAGCCCCAAACTCTCTTGGAATTAAATATGAGATGTTATTGTTATTGTTACTGTTAGGATATATTCTTTTATACTGAAATTTGTTGGTCTGGTCTGGTCTAATATCGTCTAATCTGGTTAAGCCTGGTCTAGTCTGACAAATGTCTGGTCGTCATTGTAGGAGATCGGCGCCGCTTATCCGTTTACGTTGGTCGTATGGAGCAGGGATGAGTTTGGTTTTGCAGGGACGGAAGATTGATGCATGGTCTTTGACAGCCAAAGGTCATGGAGGATCATTTAGCATGGTACCGGTGCTTCGACCTCCTCCTGAACCACCACTATGGGATGTACGAGGTGTTAGAGTTCGTGAACGTTTTCCTAGTAATTTTTATCTGTTTGTCATTTGTTTTCTTGTATCCATTTTTGTTTTTGGTTTTGACAGTTTGTTTGAGTTTTATGCCTCTCTTTATGTCATTGGGTATGGTTGGATCTATGGGAACAAGTTTGGCTGTATCAAACCCACTACATGGTTAGCGATTCGTGTTGCTCTTTCAGGGGTGACCGTCTCAAAGTTTCACCATAGGGTTACAGTCGTAGTTGTTGGAGTTTTAATTGGTGTCAGTTTTATTTTCCTTTTGCTTGATGTAATGATCCTGAATCTTTTAACGAACAAAAAATACAATTCTTCCTTTATATAATGTAGAAAAATTTAGAGTGAGGATATCACACTTATGCAAACTCTAGGGTATTTTATTTATTTTTCCAAAAACATATACTGTTGTGTGAATGGAATAGTAAAAGAATATATGAAAACAAGAGGTAAAAGTTAAAGGTCTCGCAGGACGTGGTTATTTCAAGTTCTCCCTGCATTTCCCCTTTCAAGCCTTCCTTTAAACAACTGCGCCACCTCACCGCCTCTTTCCGAAGCTCACAACAAGGCTCATTTTTCTAATCTCTGTCTCTGAAAACACCTTCATCAACTCTTACACAAACAAACAGGTACTGTCAAAGTTCTCTCTTTCTTTTTTTGGTTACATTCTTTCTTTCTTTTTTTATTTATCTTCCATCTTTTCATTCTTATTTTTTATTTTTGTAATATCTAATAGTAGCTATTCTCTTCCACCTCTGACCTTTAGCTTTAACTTGTGAATATTAATTTAAAGCTATTTTTGTTATTTTTGTTAAGGTTTAGCATTGTCTATGGTTCTTGTCTCTGTTCTTGATATGCCATTTTTGCTGCTCAGATTCTGTTGACTTATGTATTTACTTTAATGTGAATATTATCAACAATACACTTTTGGTGCTATTTTCTTCGAAGAACACCAAAAGATTGTATCTTGTGTAAATCAGATTAGCTAGCTCTAACATCTCCCCTTACAAGATTGAATCTTTACACAGGAGATGAAAAATTAGTGGTAAAATTTTCCTTACAAGTTTCAATTCTTGTGTAAGTGGCCACCTTGTCTTTTTAGGTTAGATATTCAAATTTTGAACTTTTTTGTTGTCCTAAAATTAAAAAAAATTGTGAGAGATTTGAAGATAGTACATATGTGGGGATGGGTAAAGGTACAAATGTACGATTGTCCTTTTATTGAGCGGTCAAAGCAAATACTGTGAGTTCATTTTATCTTTTCATACCCCACTTCCTTTATTCATTACTTCAAATTTAAATTTTTGTAAAGATATCACTATTGTTGTAAATTTAATTTTTTGTCTACCGCAACTCTAGGAGAAATATCTATGCCATTATTTCTTTTTAATTTATGTACTTTAAAACCCTGACATGAATCATCAAGGCATAATAATGATAGATAAAAGCAAGTAGAAAAAGGAGGGAGACATAGAATTAATGAACCAAGGCGTAAGGCCATCCATGTATACCCCTTCAAGGTAGGGCTGTGCACGGGTCGAGTTCGGGCGGGTTGGGTTTGCGAACCCTAAACCCGTTCGGTTTTTTTAATTTAAATACTAGGCCCGACCCTTTGATATTTCAAATCGGGTATTTCAGATATTTTTAAGTCGGATATTATCGGATATCGGGTCGGGTTTCGGATATTTCGGTTATATTAAAAAATGGATAATTAAAGTGTTTAAATGCCACTTTGACAAAAATTGTACATACCAATGTACTGAACATCCAAATTACACAAATAATGTAACACAAATTGCACAAATAATTGAATAAACACAAGTATTAGTTTAACATATTCAAAGTACACACTACATAATTTAATATATTTCGGATATTTCGGTTATATTAAAACACATTATAATTGGATAATTAAAGTGTTGGAATGTCACTTTGACAAAAATTGTACACACTAGTGCACTACACATTCAATTTACACAAATAATTTAATACAAATTGCACAAATAATTACACAAATAATTGAACACAAGTATTAATTTAACATAATCAAAGTACACACTAACATATATTTCGGATATTCGGGCGGGTCGGGTTGGGATTTTACAAACTCTGCCCGCCACCCGGTCTAGGCCCAATATTAATCGGATTTCGGTTTCGGGTTTTTCGGATCGGATATCCATTTCGGTTCGGATAATATCCGAAAAAAGTATCGGGTTTTTCGGGTTGGATCGGGTTTTGCTCAGCCCTACTCCAAGGCTCCAATGATAGGATATATCAAAGCAAAGAGCGGGGGGGGGGGGGGTCCTGTTACCTTTGTCGAAATTTTTAAATCCATATATTTTCCCGTTGTCAGTTTGGCGCCTGCCTCTTTGAGTAATTCTTTTCACCAGCCAATTTCTTTCCTTCTCTTCTTTCTGTTTGCAGTAATGCAGCTAATCCAATCATTAGCATTTATAGAGTCTGGTTCCAGGATGATATTATTCAAGCCTCTTTCTTCGCAAATTGCAACCCTTTCAGAAAGTCATTAGCTTCAGCCATTGTAATATTGCACTTTCTGAATTTGTTTACAGCAGGCAAGAAGAATTATTCCATTATGATCTCTAACTTTGACCCTCCCAAGCTCTATCAATTTACCTTTGATCTTGTTCAACATCTAATCACAAGAATACACTCTAAATATTGCAACTCCATGATAATGTGAAGGTAGTTCCTGGCTGTCAACATCAGTCCAGCATTTGATCCTGTATTTTAGCCTTTACTCCAGCAGTGATCAGGGGAAGGTTCTCACATATGTCCCTTTTGTGGAGATCCTCCTATGGTGTCAACATTGTTTGGAAGAACTCAATGCCACTCTTCTGGATCATTTGTTCGTCAATAGTCCAAACGTGTTGGGAAAAACTCCGGACTTTCCCACTTCATGAAGTTAAGATAGGCACTTAAGAAATTAGGTAGCAATGGGAGCACACGATTTGAATTCTCCAATATGGAGATTCTTCCACTATACAAAAGAATAGTAGAATTTACAAGGATGTTACAAAATTGTCACTCAAGCTTGAGGATAGGAACTTCCCAAGCTAACTCTCTTCTCTCTCAAAGAGGCTCTCTAACTCTCTAGCTTTCTCACTCTAGGAAGTGACTTCTCTCTTGCTAGGATGGTTAGGAATGGAGACCTCTACTCCTATTTATACTACTCCACCTTCACAATGAATGGTGGGGTTGATTTCTATCCAAGGGTGGAGATTGATTCTCTAGAATGCTCCACACACTCTAGGAGACTCTATACTCTTCCACTCTATTCCATATCCTTTCATACTCTTCCGTAAGCTTCCGGAAGGTTCCACACATCTCTAGAATATTCTAGAGGATTCCACACTATTCCACAAACTTCTAGAGAGTTCTAGACTTCTCTAGGATTCTCCGGAACTTTC